GGTGATTTTCAATTCTTGCACATCTTTAAATTTTAATAACTTTTCAACTATATGAGATAAAAAGAAAATTCAAAAAGCATATTATACAGAATTTATTGCCATTTAATGAATTAGGTTTTTCAAAATGACTACCTTCACTTGCAATAATAGATTTTAACTGATTTTTGAAACATTCAATAACAGTAATAAAGGTCTTTTCATTATTTCTTTTGTTATTGCATCTATCAACTCTTCAATAGATGTAGGAACATTGTGATACACTCTATCTTTAAGATAGCTCCATAAAAAGAAATCACATTGGTTTAAGTTGAGGCTATAAGGCAATCACTCCATGCCACCACCAACATATTTTTTTTTCATAATCTAATCCAATTACATGCTTCTTAAATATGCTGTAAAGGCTTTTGAACGATTGCTTTGTGCTTGTACCATTTTGCATAAACCAAGCATGATGATGTTTATGCCCAACAAGCATTTTGAGATAAAATTTTGTTTCCAATAATTCAACATATGAAGCAGAAGTAATGTTCTTTTTGAAAAAGAATGGTCCGAATAACTCCGCTAGTAGTGATAGCACGTCAATTCAAGAATTAGAATTTTGATGATAATTCTTTACAATAAACACATGTTCTAAAGTGAGCACCACCATTTTGAAAATGACTGTTAACATTAATCAATCATCAACACCAAAAATGTAAACATTATACTATATAGTACTTTTTGAATTTTATTTCTATTTTTCAATGTAATTTTAATTCTTATAATAGGATTATGAATCAATTTAAAAATCCATCAAAAAGCCCATTATTGTTGGGAGTTGGACTCTTGTATTTCTTAAGTCTTTTACATTGTATAAATCAATTTTAGTAATTTAGTGTTTTAAAATTTACTGTTAATTTATTTGTCACTTGTAGTTAAAAATGATAGCCATTGTAACCCTGCTGAGGAGGGGCGTGATAGCCCGAAACACAGTTGTAAACAAAAGTATGTGTACAGGAGGCTCAATAAAGAAAGTCTGTTTTCTTTGAGAACTTTTGCTCAAATCTGTGTTAATACTTAACACCAGTTTAACAGTTCTATTTAAGTCCAATTTAAGTCCAAGTTGACAAATAAAATAAGAATTATTTCTATTTCATTCATTGAAAATTTATTAAAGTTTAAAGTTTTGCATAACTTAAAAATTACCCTGTACATGCTATCTTATGATGACATATGCTTAAAGTATCCTTTTAATCTAAAATATTTTCATGTTAACTTATCAGTTTAGCATTGCATGGCAAATTTTATGGTAGGCCTATTTAATTATTTGTATGATTCAATTTGAATTTTCCAAACCATTTGTAGTAATTATTATTTGATTCATAAATCATGGTTTTATTTTGTGCGCTATAATTTTGGAGAAATTTTGGGTCCTGAAAATATTCTACACCCTTAGTCATAAGTTGCAATGTATCACGTTACTTCTTGCTGCCTGCAGACAGCTACACTTGGTCAGCAAACAAAATCAACAAGGCAACCAATGAAACAAATTCCCCGACTTTCCACGAACTTTTTCTGAACACTAATGAAAATTCCTGACTTTCCAGATGGGTAGAAACCCATTTGTTACAAGTTCTTGGCCTTTTTAACATATGTTAAAAAGGCCAAGAACTTGTAACAAATGGGACATTCCAATTTTCAATGCTGACTAAGTGCTGATCTCAACGTTTAACAAAGTTTTTCCTTTTTTCAACATTGAAGTGGCACTGTTGTCAATGCTGACTCAACACATTCAGCACTCAACAGATATGTTGATCGCTACTTTCCAATGAATTATGAGTAATTGGGTGACAGTTGAATGAAGCCCATCTTACGAGAATGGAATTATGGGAACCAAACACTTTGTACTCGAAGTTGGAATGCCATTGATGACATCAAATTGTTGGTTTCAACACTCAACACTCGTCTTGAAAATTGAAATGTCCCAAAAGCAATTTGTATTTGTGATTATTGTGTGTGGACTAATACATGGATGCAAGGATCAAAGGCTATTTTTGTTCTTTCCTGTAGATTTGAGTTTTGTAAGGTTGAGGATTTTTTTTTTTTTTTTTTAATCAAAGTTTTGCCTGCAGCCTTTAAATGTGAATCATTATTCTAAGTGAGGGAAACTAAGTTTCCTTCACTTAATCCTTCATATTACCATTCAACTAATAAATAAATACTTTTAATGTAACATCAACACTAAATCTGGAACCTGTTACTGATGTATATCATAAGAAAACCTTTCTTCACAAATATTTTTGAACTATTTAAAAACAGTTCCTCCTCTGGTGAAACCGATTGAATGCTTCAAAAAATAGAATGTATAAAATTAAAATAAAATTGAATGCTTGTTTGACAAAATCCATTGTGATGGGCATGTATACTTGTGCGTGGATGATTTTCTCACGATTCACACCAGTAACAGGTTCCAGATTTAGTGTTGATTTCATCCCCAGTGTTAAGGTGATGTGGAGTTTTTGATTTAATGTAACAAAATCTACAAAAAGTACATAATTTTAACAGTTTAGGTTAATTTTGATTTTTTGAATAGTGTGCTTTAATGTAACAAAATTAAATTTTAATATTTTAGAAAAATTATTTTTGTTAGCTTCAAATAATTTTTACTTTGGAATTTTTGAATAACATTTTTTTATTTTCAACAATTACAAAAATATGTTACACAATAAATAAAAAAATTGTTATTAGTAATTTTCTCTCTCTCTATCTCTTTTTTTTAATCATAAACATCATATTAAAATAAATTTTGAATGTGAATTTTAGATTAGAGTGAGTTTTCAACCATAATATGAAATGCCACTATAAAACATGGTGTAACATTAATTAAAAAGCACTTTTATGTTATGAATATGCATATCACATGTGCATATTCATTTTTTATTTGTCAAATTTAATACAATTGTTAAATTAAACAATAAATTACGATTTATAAAGATATAACAAAATCTCACAAATTCTAATAATAAACCACTTAAATATGCAAATTGTTTTGTAGTGTATACAGCAAATATGGCAAATAGGTGATATCTATAATCATCCTAATTGATTTTTTTTTCATTTTTACAACCTTATCAGTAAATTTTCTTCTTTTTAGATTTAAATTTACTAGTCTATTGTTATTTTGATATTTTCATTCAAAATCGCGACTTTGATCGCTATTTCCGACTGGCGTCCTCTTAACCCATAAGTTCCGTCTTGTGTTCGAGAATAGGTGTTTGTGGGACATGAAAGACAAAAACTATCACAACAGAAATATTTCTCGGCAGAGATATCTCTCATTCTGAAATACTCGAAAAACTTTTGCGGGTTGTTCCACAAATCTTGAAATAACATTTGGAACTCTCCCTTATCGTCTCTTGTGGAAAATAAGTGGTTAACATGCTCTGTTTTCCTACCACCTATAAACGATAACTTAAACAACGGACTTCCAAAAAAATAAAACTCATCAAGTTCGTCCATTTTGCTGGGAGGCAGAAACGTACTGACTATCAGAAAACGCGCACAGTGTAACCACCTTCTTTTGACGAGGATTTCGGACGTACTCGTCAGAACAAAATTTCGTCAGAATTCGCATCCATAGTAACCGTAGCCTTAGTAGCTACCAGCAGTTACTGGTAACACCGGTTACAATTTCCAAACGCGCTATAGGAAAGTAGAACCAATTAAACTACTTNGTACCGTAAGTCTAATACAGTACTGTAATTTTATACATTTCTTGTGAAAGAAACATTTCTTATTCAACGGCAATAAAAATTATTTATATTAATGATGTCTCCAAACTTCAGCGAAGTTTTTGCAAGAAATAACATCAGAAATCGCGCCCGCGATTTGCTGAGTTGTTCCGCAACGAAAACAAGCTTGAGCAATGGCGATGTCGAATGGTGCATACTCGGTAAGTAATCCTACAGTTTTTTGTTTATAGTGTAGTTTATACGGATTATTTCCAAAAAAAATATACGTATTTTGGAAATGTTGAGTCAGATTAGTCTAGAATCGATTAATTTTATGGAAGAAAATCTTTCAAACAGCCGTAGTCCGTAAACTTCACACGTATCGAGCTGTGATTGGCTGTGATTCCTACAAAATCGGATTCATAAAGAACGGAACGTATCTACCGTCTTATAGGGGGATCTACTGTATATGTATTGTATCAAGCTATAATGATTATAAAAACAAATTCTACTAAAACCTTTACTGGGATCATTAAGACTCCAGTAAAGTAATTTTTGCTGGAGGCTATTTATAGTTATCACAAGTATTAATTCAAAAAAAGTTTTACAATTGGTTTTTATAACATACTATTTATTTGAATAATATTACAAGTAACTTTTTTTAGTATTAATTTTTCACTTGATTTTAGCTAATATAAGAATATCCCACAATCCCCTGAAGATGCCAACAGCCTCTAGCAGACAAAAATCTTGCCATTTTTGGCATAAGTCTTGAATCTAATTGCATTTGCTGGGAAAGTTATTTTTGCTTTTGTTTTCAGACTATTTACCTCCAGCTGTCAAGTGTGTGTGTGTGTGTGTGTGTGTGTGTGTGTTCTGTTAACCACATGACCTTGCAACTTTAGAAAAACTCATCATAACAATATATAATACATATAGCATTACCTTGTTAAGGAATGTAAATAAACAAATGTTCATTTAATCTATATTTAATACATACCTGTTAGCAAAAGAAAACTGGAAAAAGCAATGCTTTATTTTGAGATTTTATTGATAATTTAAGAGATTTAAATGTCTTCAAAGAGATTAAATAGAGTTCACAAAAAAATCTATAAAATTCCAGTTTGATAAAAGGAATAAAAGAGTTTCGAAATAAATATAAGCATTTTATTTACAACAACAATCTTTATCTTAAGATAAATACAGTTAATTTGTTTAAATAAACAACTACGATCCTTATCAAAAAGTGCTAAGTTGTAATTTCTCCATTTTTAAAACAGAAATTCTTACCTTTAGAAGTTAGAAACATATGTACAAATGACGGCTAATAAATGTACAATTACAGCTTTTCTGCGAAAAGGCTATTGCTTTAATATATTTCTTTATAGATTATTCATATTTCTCAAAACTAAGACTGCGGATGAATGAACCAGTCGTCCATTTTGCAAATATTGAATATCTATAATTACACTTTCTTCGGAAGAGGGAGCCATTATCGGGGCTTGCTTTTCATTTTAAAAACTATTTGTTTTAAATGTGCCATATTTCAACTCGATATTATATGTACTTATTTCTTTTAATTAATTTTTGTAAATAATAAATATAAAGTTTTATTTGAAATATAAACGATAATGTTATATATATTTCTCTCATCATTTTAATACACAGTATATATAAATTTTTTAACTCTCCGCTCTGTGGGTCTCTTTTAGCAAACCCATTATGAGTTCGGCCAGACCCACGATGGAGCGGGTGGGTGGCGAGAGACGGATTCGATACCGGGTACCAGAGCGGGTTCCAGATCCCGTCCGGATTCGATACCGAGTTTTCCAGAGCAGTAGGCTGTCACCTTGACCGCTCGGCCGTGGTATTTTTAGCCCAATTTTTTCAAATTGTAGCCCAACAATTTGAACGTTATTCGAACACAAATTATAGAAAAAAACTCACTCGGTACTCGACTAAACAAATGCGACTCTCTAGAACAAATTTTCGATTAATGGCATATTTTATTTTTATTTTGTCATAAAAAATTATAATAAAAAATAAAGATGTTGCTAATATTTCTGATCAAGATCAATTTTTTACTGGGCTGCAATTTGAAAAATGTATAGACCTTTAATTTCCCATTGTCGTCTGTCGTCTGTCTTTCCTTAATCTAGAGAACGAAGTTAGATAGATAAAACTCGAGACCAAATATGGAAAGCTTAGGGCAAGAGGCCCAGATTAACTATATTAGAAACCAGACGCAAAGTTACATTTTAAGTCACATTATTTCAATTCAAAATTCTCCCCTGAAAGTAGATAGATGACCGGCACGATTCCATTGTTAACAGGAAAAGTATGATGTGCAGGTACTACAGTACTAATTTCAGGTGACGAGCATATATTTTAAATGAAATAAATTAAAAATATGATTTAAAATTGCAGTCCGACAGCCCGATATCACAATAAGTTATTGCTCATTTCTTATTTCTCATTATTATTCAAGATATTTCTGCTCAGGTTATTTCTTTAAAAAATTCATGTAAATTAAAATTTTTAAAGATGTATTGAAATACTGTATTTTTAATGTTCTTATTATTTTATAACCTATTATTCTTAAAACTTAAATGCTTAGTTCGATAAATAAATATATTTTTAAAATATCAATATTTATGTGTATAGGATAATCTAATAAAGCGATGACATTGAAAATTATACAGGAAATAAAATAAAATCGATTTAATTTACCATCTCTAAATTATTATTAAATAATTGCACAATTATGTAATATAAAAATGTAAAATATTCACTGCATCCTTGGATCCTTGAATTATTCGGTGTTATATAATACTGTATCAATGAGTCGTTCAATGAGACCGTTTACTAATCATGATTATAAGTTAGATAGATAGGGCCATGTGTCATATCTCGAGGTCCACCAGTGGCCAAGCGGTCTTTGTACCCTAAACACTGCGAGTTCGATTGTAGATTCGCGCCTCGCTCGGACGGGCTGGCCACGTAGAGTTTTCCGGGTTTTCTCTACGTCTTTAACACCTAAATCAGGGGTGTCCAACCTTTTTGTTTCTCTGGGCCGCATTGGAAGAAGTCAAGGAGTTTTGGGCCACAAGCAGTAGCGTAGCGTAAAGGGGCGGCAGGGGCGGCCCGCCCCGAGCGGTATTTTTTAGGGGAGCGGCAAAATTTGACAATAAATAATAATAATATCTTGTAAGAATTTGAACCATTTTATTTCATATTTTCGTGCACCTACGACTCGGACCGATTGAAATGAGCACGGCAATAGTGTTACCATCCGCGAATACCGCGAATCGACTCGCCGTCCGAGGATATCGTGCGCAACCTGTTGACCTTTTTTTATTTTTTTTTTTTTTTTTTTTTTTTCTTTGCTTGTACGATTTATTCGTATATATATACACCTTCAATATCCAATAGAGCTAGGTCACTTGCGTTACTCTTATCCAAGTCTCTCTAGTCGCTAACTGTAACTGATTTAGAACCAGCATGCACTGCAAATTATTCTTCGCATTGCAAAATGACATACGCATGCGTCAGGAACTTCTGTTCGAACAAACCTCACCCGCCGTCCGGGTCGGCGATTTTAAAAAAGTGGCAACCCCTAGCAAACCCTAGCACGGAATTTTTCATTACTTATTCTGTGAGGAAACTGAATTTTAGTCTTTTAAATTGAGATACCTAAATAAGGGGACGGCGAAATTTTCCTTTTCCCCGGGGGGCTGACACCCACGCTACGCCACTGGCCACAAGTACAGTACATATATACTTGTGGTCCAATATACAAGTATATTTAAGGATTAACATGTCTAGATTATAATAATAAGTATTAAAACTTTATCAAGAAAAAGGATATTTTAAAAATTACTTCTACAGACACTTTCAATTTTTACTTAGAAATAGATAAATTCATTTATTATAAAAGAGACAAACGGAAATTTATTTGAAAGACACAGACGTTTGTTATATTTGGGTCTCTAATTAATAAAAAGCAACGAAACACCATTTTAAAGTGCATTTTTATTCAACTAATATAAATAATAGGTAGCCCAAAAAGTAGCCAAAGCGCCAAATGATATTTTTTGCATCGAACAAAAAAAGTAGCCACATTTGGCGCAATGTAGCCAAATCTTGCAACGTTGGAAAAAATAGTAAATAATACTGGAGTTGTGAATCAAAGGATTATAGACCCAAGTGCAGGGAAAGGAGAGAAAGGACAAAAGATAAAAAAGTGAGAAAGGTTGGAAAATTAAGGGTCAACAGAAGATCTATTTAACCTTTCTCACTACTACATCTTTTGTTTTTTCTCATCTTTCCCTCCTTTTCCCAAATTTGGGTCTATAATCCTTTGAGTCACAACTCCAGCTTTATTTAGTAATCCTTCCTCATTCACACATTTCCAAGTATTTGAAAATATTTCCTTTCCACTCAAGAATAAAATATGAATAAAGGTTTACCGCTTTGTGAAACTTCTTTTTTGAGTTTATGCCGTTGAAATAGATAAATAATAAAAAAATTAAAACATTTTGTCGGTTTTGTTTACACGTTTATTGGGCCGCATTGGAACTTGCCTTGGGCCGCATGCGGCCCGCGGGCCGCGGGTTGGACACCCCTGACCTAAATAGAGGCCAGTTTCCCTTAAAAGGCCTCCCCTAGGCAGATCGCTCAAGTGTTGCGTTGCTATAACTTAACCAACAACAACATATCTCGAGTGGAGTCTGACTTAATAAAGATTTTATTCGTTATTAGCATTTATAATTTTTATTAAACTCGTCTCTATCTCAAAAACAAGTTTTTCGTCATTTTTTAAATGATTAATAATAAAAAGTTTTTAAATAATATCTCATAACAGATGGGGCCACACAAAGTTTTAATATTACAAAAAAACTATTAATAGCATTTATTATACTTAGATTATGTAGTTTATTAATACAGTATAAACCAGTGGCGTGCCGTGACATTTGATGATAGGGAAGCTGTGTTTCTATAAGAAGCCGACTTCCAGGGGCAATCAGTTAAGGCTTACCGTGAAAAACTTGGCTTTTATTATATTATTTTACATGCGGGTTTTTCGTTTTTGATTGAGTTTTAATAGGGTACGTCAAGAGAATGTACACTAAGAAGAAATTTTTCGAAAAATTTTCCCCTTTCACGGGGAGATGTGTTTTACATATATAATAGGTACATTTTGAGCCACAACAACGCGTGGCGGGGTCTGCTAGTTTTAACAATAAAATTTCCTAGTCTAGTCCACTAACCACTTATAGAATAAAAGTTTAAAACTCTTACTTAATAGAATTAGAATAGAAGTTATAAAATATTAGTCTTGTCTTGAATAAAGTATTTTAAAGGATTAAATAAAATTAAATCAATCACTTCTGTTGTTTTTGTTTACTTTTCTAAAGTAGGATCTCAAAAAACAAATGGTATTGATGGTGTTATCTCCCAACTTACTTCATTAAATGAACTGCATATATATCCCGCTGCGGAGAAGGCTCTTTCTGCCTCTATGCTAGTTGGTTTCAGGGCCATCAAATAATCATAAATTAAAGATAAGTTTTTACCTTTGACTCCCTCACGTTCATAAACAGCCATTTCCTTTTTTAATAAACTTATCATAATTCTTCTCAGTAATAGTTTCTTTTCGTTTCATGAAGTTTTCTTTCTCACGCTCTAGTTGGATCTCCGATTCTTATTCCAATGTGAAATTCAGGGAATGAATGCGGGTTATTTGGATCATCGTTTTCCGTTTCCATAATATCCTCAGCCATTGCTGCTGGTTCCACTACATATGTATTTACTCGATTCAGCATATTTTTCATCTCTTGGCGCATTACATTTTTTTTCGGTATTGTGAAAGAATAATCATGCTTTCTAACTTTTTGGTTATAGTTTTTTGGGGTTCTGTATGTAAGTAAATAAGCATCCCTGTGGCCTCAATAAGACGCCGTTTTCTGATTCTTTTGCGTGTGTCCTGGCTTTTTAGTTTGTCTAAGATAAATTTCAGGGTTGTGTCAGCAGTTATCAAACTCGACTCTCTTCTACAGAGAGCTTTTACGGCCAGTTTATAGGTTAGGTTTCGTGGACAATCCACAAGGCTGCAGCTCTCCATAGGCTTAAACTGAGATCGTTCCGTCACGTAATTCATTGACGTCACAACCGACGGTAAATTAGAATTATGCACCAGGACTAGGAGAGGAGTTACTTATTTTATTTAGCGCGAAGACACTTTATTTAGCGAGAGTGGAAAGTCAACTGGCAATTAGATCAGCAGAGGTTAAAGGGCAGACAGTGCGGTGTAGAGAGGGTATGTAGCATGTGCCACACTGAACGGCAACGTCGCCCTCGCCGCCGAGCGATAGCACACGTAGAAACGCGGCAACACAGACAACGTAGACTTTGCGCCATTATTTAGAAAGTTAATTGAGTATTTGCGGATCCGCAGCGCTGGATCC